GAACACGAACATCCATTACTGAGCGTCTTAGGTCAGACCATACGACTACCAAATCGATCATCGACTTCTATGCACAAGCTTCCCGGTACCAGGTGTACTAATGCACTCTTCGATGCTCGAAGAAGGTGTTCATAATGGACAATCCGTTGTCTGCACAAAACCGCAACAACTTCGTGCCGTTCCACTTTACAGCGTCTACTCCGACATGTCCGTTAAAATCGCCCATGAGTATGACAGACTGTATTCGGCACTTCGGACAGAGCACACTGCACTTCCTCAGGGAAGGTATCATATTCTCCCTCCAAACTGGGTGCATATACCTGTACCAAAGTCAACGCTTTAGTCTGTTATAGCTTTAGTCGGAGGATTACCATCTTTCCGCTGACAGGCTTCCAATCAGTGATTCCATCTGCGAGGTTAAGTTCTACTAGAACACCAACACCGGCCTGAGCGTACGTCGTGATCTCGACACCTGAGTACAATAGCTTCCACCCGCAGAAGTCCAGGATTCCAGAGCCTTGGCGCTTCGTTGACGAGAGTCCAACGATCTCGAGCTGGTACTTCATGGCATCATCAGCAAACTCTTGCTCTTCCTGAGTGAGGATAGATTCCAATTTCCGACTGTAAGCTGCCACTGGCGGTGTCGTTCTCGCGGAGAATTTTCTGACGTGCTATAGTGGCATCGCGCGGTGCCGCCTCCGTTCAGAACGGGTACCGACCCCTTGCTGGCTGGTATCTTCGTCATCGTTCTTCGTCAGCCGTTGATGTGCTGCTACGCCCCCGGCTGGCAGAAGGCGACGAGCAGGTCTGATCACAAACTTTTCAGCTTCAGTCCCCTAACAGCCTGCGCGGCCCCTGCTAATCCGGGCGACAACCAAGCCGGTATAATTTTCGATGACATCAATACCATGACTGGTAGGTGGCAAAGTTCTACGAAGACTACGCCACGGTCTCCAACCCTCCTCCTTTCTCAACCGGGCTTGGGAATGGCAACGGCGGAGTTGCGCGTTATATTTGAAAACAATTCCTCAAAACACAACCTGCGAACAAATTCAACCAGAAATTACCTGTTACAACCTAACGAGTACAGAAGAACTAGAAACAGAACACAATTAAGTTTCCCTCACTTAGCGCATTGAATTGCTGTCAGAAAAACTGGTCGACGTGGCTCCCCCCGCCGGTAATTCTACGCAGGTATGTAAATGTTTGCAATGAATACTCAAGAGGGAGATAAACTTCACACCCTCCCTCCAGCTAAATGAGGAAACGCAAGAAATAGATTGGACTCGTCACATAATGGTCTGAACAACAGTGAAATTCTGGGAACTCACGACACAGCCATTGCATAAAATGTAAGCAACTGATAATGTCAACTGATCGTTAAGTGAGAATCAAGTATCACGCTCTAAGCAGTTGAAACACGACCACTAAATCTCATGTTTCTGTGATCGATCTTAGACTAAGCAGCGACTGAACGTGTGCTCTGAACATGTACTGATGGATACTCGAAATAACATCATCCACAAGTTTCGTATTGCCCAATGGCGTGACTGAAAGGCTTGAACGGAACTCGGTATTTTGATGACCTTTCTAATGGTCCTGACTGTCTCCGTTTACAATGCTGAACTGGATGCACGTATCCACACACTGTGAAAACCGATTTGGAGTTACCATGCGCTCATTAACACACTTCAGTGGATGATCCCCTCACTCATGGCTGTTTGTCTTGCTACAGAATAAAGGTATTGACTTTGAAGGCCACTGATAACGATCAATGCCTAGCTCAGAAACATGACTCTAGATATATTTAGCATTGCAAGTCTCCACTGACATGGAATCCTGGTCGGCTATGACCATGTCGGCAATTAGAAAAAAATGGAAGGATCAGTGCGACGTAGCATCCAGCGTTGGATGCTTCAAGCTATGCTAACAAATCTTAGCAAGAACCATATTCTTAAATACAAGTTACTATGCATCTGTAAAGGATATACTACAAGAACAGCTTTAGGCAGTTTCTGATACGTGAGACGAAAACAACTCAACAGAAAATGCACTATTTCATTTTAAATCTTGACAAGGAGCACGCACGCACTTTATTTTGGCCTGCACAAACAATGTCCAGGGCATGAAACCGAAACAGTTGGAATGAGTGGGCCTATTTCGCTGTTCACTACGACGGTCATTAAGCCTACGGATCAAACTTTTGGTGTCAGCAACGTACATAACTACGGCATATACAAAGCGAAAGAGCTTTAATAACAATGTTAATACCACACATTTAATTCCTTAAAAACAGAAAGTCAGAGTTTATTCTATCCTTCTTCACTTTTCTTGATGGAACGAGACCTCAACAAATACCCCGAAGAGGTGCTACCCTGAACTGCAGGTATCTTTTCTGTTTTCGGTTTCAATATTTTGTCTGTGACCGAATACGACGATAGGGTTTGCCTGACTGAACGCTTGGTCTTAGCAGTTTCGCGTATGGTGCTACCATTGTAGCGAAAACATTCTGTATGTTTTGACTCAGCTCTGTCAACATTTGCATTAGCGGTTGAACGATCTGCAGGCTCTAAGCTAGAAGACTGAGCAGCTTCATCCCGAATAACTTTTTTGATTTCTTCGTTTTCATACGAAATGCTCTGCGCGAAAGATGGGCACACGGCACGTATTTTTCTTTGATAAGGTTCCTTCAGAGAAGTCGAGTTATTATCACTGCCAGACAGGTTTTTCGCAATATAGCTTTTCGACATTCTGGTAATTTTAGAATGCGCTCGACTCCTATTTTTTGAAAGCCCACCAGAAGTTGATGCAAGAGTGATCGGGTCTGCTACCAAATGAGTTCTCTTGTATGTAATAACGTCGCTCGTTGCCGGTCCCTTCGTACTGTGTGTTTTTCCAACATTTCTAGCAATTTTTTTGCTGGGTATCACTATAACTTCTTTTTCACAATTTGACAAGATATTATCGGGTTTCTTCTGCTCCCGAAGTTT